GCGGAGCCGCTAACAAATACACACACAAGACATTGTGACATCATAATGTACCATCTAACATCATAGTATACCTCTTAGCCAATAGCGATGGCAGATTTAAATTCAAATGCAGTGCAGAGTTTTTACCTGACGACGGTGCGTCGCTGACAGTTTTAGGGAGAATAATAAATTTAACTAAGATGAACTAAAATGCCGAATTATTGACTACACTTGTCTACAACACGATCAGACACTCATTTATATAGTTTATCAGCAAAAAAATGTTCATTTGGAGTGACTTGCTCTTTAACTCATTCACTGCCAGCCGTTTCCTGATCGCTAACGGCCTTCGCTGCCAGCGTTTCTACTGTTTTTTAAGAGTCACAGAACGTTGCGCGCTAGCATGATGTCGATGCCAAAATAACCTAAACAAAGAGGAGACTCACCTCTTACATCAGGAAGAAGCCGCGTGTTTCGAGCGTTATCTGTTCTTTCATAATCCGTTGTCGAATTGTGATCGGCAGACGCTTTTCCGGTTCGCGCCTCACTTTTTTTACAGGAACGGCCCAAAACGATCTCCAAACACATGGATGATCTGCTTCCTGATCATGTGATCTGTGACATATGCGGATGAAGATCGGCTTCAGGGCTGAGATGTTTGTTCTCTCAGCGCGGCGGCTCGTTCCGATGCTCAAACAGAAAAAAAAAGCAAAAGACGACTTTAGTCGTCATTGGCAGTGAATGAGTTAAAAGCCCATCGTGGCTAGGAAATGGTAAAAAGTTTGATGTCGAAGCCTAATAACCAGTTTGACACGGGTACAAGGCTCACAATTTAATGACGCAATAATTGACAAAAGTCTATTGTTCCCCCTGGTGAGGTATTAGTCTTCTCTTATCCGGTACAGATCGGAGAAGAATGATTGATACATCACCTGTTCCTAGAAACCATAAAGGTCTTAGAAACAGGCTGTAACATACAGACTTCCAACCACGCAACAACAAAGATGATTCCAACATCTAAAGCCCAAGTTGAACTGTCACTTTTATCAGCTGTGCTACCTCCTGGTAATCTGCCCAATATTTGACATAAAGCAACGCAGTAATGAGGTGGAGATGATGGGGGAGGGGCAGGCTCTTGTCAGCTGTGTGCCAGTGATCATACCACCTAACGAACCGACAGACGGATAGCGTTGTTTTATTCTGAGCTCTTCTGTGTCTGCTCCTCTGGCACTCGACAGGCAAACAGCAGACTGAAGAAAACAATTATACTCCCCAGTCATAAATCTACTGGGCATGATTCACAGGCTATACACTAATAATTCAATGTGTGCTCATAAATGTGGTTAACTGAAGATGAAGTGGAAAAAAAAACACCAACCCAGAAAGCTAAAGCAAATTAGCCTCCAATTAGATTGCAATTCATGGAATTCTATTTTAAAAGTGTTGACGGAATTAATAGCATGTGAAATAGCAAATTAATCCAATACAAAATGAGAGGACACACTTGGGTTTAAGTGCATCTCTTTGCCACTATAATGCTGTTATCACCATGGCGACACCGTGCAAATAGATTTCTCCTCTGCACAGAGATGCGGTCGCTGAGCGCAGAGTGGGTGAGACGAAACCAGCAGAGCCAACAGTTCGGTCGAGGCGGACAGTCGGAGACGGGGATTACATTAGTCGCGTGCCCCTGTTCACCACCAGCGAAGTACAGCAGCAGATACTCTGATGATACGGGTGCAGAATGCAACTCTGCAACGCTGCATCTGCATTATGAATTATGCCGATCCAACTTCCTGTGTTTTTTTATAAACCCAAGAACAACTCTGTTAGCACGTCAACGCTGATACCTACCACGGTGAGGGTATTATTGTCTTAGCTGTGGCGTATAATGGAACAAATGTGGGCATCAGAGGGAGCTTCTAGAAACCTGCCTACAGGTAGAGCTATGCTCTGCACACAGCACCGTGATCACACTGGGATGTGCACGGATTTGTGCTCACAGGCAGCAAAGCCAGGAGGCTGATTGCGACGGTGAAGGGGGACTGTGATGAAGCAGCACGTGTGCTCTGGGTGAATAATCAGCATCCCTCTGGGGCTGTGGAGGGAGAAGAGGAGAGGAGGTGGGGTCTACAACAGAGGTCCAGCCTATAAATGTGCGTGGGGGTGAGGAGGAGGGCGGTGGGGGCGCTGCGTCCTAAAGCCTCGCCTCGGACCGAGCTCCATGCCTAATAGGGGGCAGAGGAGTTAATTCCAGCGAGCTGAAGCTTTATCTCATTTTCATACATATGAACGCGCCGGGCCGAGATCGATTACCACAAACAAATTGAAACGCCTGGGTCCAAGGAGGAGACCCGCAGAGAGGAGAGCAGAGTGTGTGTGTGTGTGTGTGTGTGTGGGTGTGTGTGTGTGTGGGGGGGGGGGGGGGGGGATATGAATCCCTAAAAATGTATAAAGGAGGCAGAATGCAATGATATGGATGGAAAGACACAAATCACAACTGCATACTGATTGCATACGTGCACACACACACACACACACACACACACACACACACACACACAGAACATTGGAGGTTAGCAGCTCAGAAGCCCTGGAGGTTTGCTGAACGACTCAACTTTCTTTTTCTTTATTCCAAATCTCTTCATCTCTTCCTCTCATTAAATCAACCATAAAATAAAAGCCCATGCCATTAGTTCTCCTCAGCGTTAGCATTTATAGCTCCACAGCTTTTAATCCTGTTGTTTCATGTTCAACGTTTTAATTTCTTTTATCATGATTGTATTTTGTTCTTCAGCGCCATGGCCTCCCGTAATGGGCGACGAAGGTGCTAAATAAAGCCCTGATTGATAAAAATGAACATGTAAAGGGAAACCAGTAAGTATAAACTCTAACCAACGGTTCCCAGCTCTTTATCAAGGTATCTGCAGGTTTAAGGGAGCCAAATTTAAGACTTTTTAAGACCTTTTTTAAGGCAACTTTGACCAAATTTAAGCTACTTTTGAAATTAAATTTAAGCTATAATTTCTAGCTATTGCCTGGAACTGCGCAGAAGTGGGATTAACCATCCAGTTACCATCAAACTTGCACTTCCCCATGTCGCAAGCTCCCACTAGCTTAACCAGCTAATGTGCTCATCTAAAAATAGCCTCCTTTCACAACCAACCGAATGTGTGCGGTTCCGCTTACGCCAACATCATACACAAAAAATGCTGAACACTAACTAGAAATTCACAAAATTTAATAGAAACAAAATGATTTTGTTTATTGGGTCTTTGGTAATTTAAGACCTTTGAAAACTGTATTTAAGGATTATTTGTCATTTTTAAGACTTTTTAAGGACCCGCGGATACCCTGTTTATCCAGCAGAACTCCAGTCAGCAGCAGCACATGCTGACAAAACCTAAAAACAAAGATGAGACTGGGTGTAAAGAGGAGCCAACAGATGCCAACATGGATTATGTGTGAGTGGGTTTAGAGCTCTGTGTACACACAGGAGCCTCACAACATCAAATCTGTTGGTTCTTTTCCAGACTTCACCATCACAAGATCTGTCAGAACAGCCGCTCACACATTCCTACAGACTCTGAAAGTCTAAGATCTGAGACCAGCTTAGAGACGGTTCAGTCAAACCTCTGCTCTGGAAACGAAACCGTGGCTTTGATCCCCAACCGGAATCAGGGGGACAGCCCTGCTTATCAAGCTGCTTAATACACAAATGAGTGGGACACATTGAGTGCGTTTACATGCAGCCAGTAACCCTTTTAAAACCCAAATATTCACAATAACCCGGTTCCGCAGGTCCTTGTAAACACTGCCAAAAACCCGGATATGCTCATAACCGGGTTTTTTAAAACCCGATTACTACGCCTGGGGTAACCCTTTTCTAACCCGAATGTTTGGTCGTGTAAACGCATACCGGGATATCCCCATCAAAGCGTGTGTTCTGCGCATGCTCTGTTAGCAAGGAATCTTGGTCTTTTGAGTAGCGAGACGTCTTGTATGCGCCAGAACACCGGAAGTAAACAACAAGTTGGGAGCAACATGGCGAGTCGCGGCACAGCACCACACTTTTGTAGTGACGAGGAAACTAAAGCACAAACAAACGCGGTCGCTATCTCTTCCGAACTGGGAAACATGTTGTTGTTTTCATGGATACCGGAACAAGAAGAACCGGAAAAGACGCATATTGCATCTGGACGTAGTCCATACGTCCTGACGCTACCCCAACGTCCGCATTTAAATCGGGTTATGCAAGTTAGAGGTAACTCTTTCTATTTATGCTTGTAAACGGGTTATTCTGATCAACTCAGAAACCCGAATACCGACCTTAACCCGATCATAACCCGGATATTGGCTGCATGTAAACGTAGTCAATGATATATTGCGAATGTTTTCTATGTGCAGATCAGGCACGGTAGTGTGGCTGGTGAGGAACTTCTCACCTTCACAGACTGAAATTTACCCGACGTTGCTGTTTCAGCTAAGAAAAACACTCAAACTGAGCGATACCACCGGCTCATTTAAATCTGCATGCAGCAGATCCCAGATTGTGTGTTGACGTTTCAGCGCGACAGTAAAGCTAAATTTAAACTAAAACGGAGTGAAAATCTATCACAGCAGCGAGAACAAAGGGCACACGAGGACAGTGCTCTTTTAGCCCCACTCTTCTTTGCACCGCAGCTTAACTGCTTTCCTTTCTTTTATCCACAACACATCCCATCCCCCATCTCTTCACCCACACGACACTGGCTGAGCTGTCTGGGTGCTGGCACGCTTCACTGCCTGATGCTGCAGTGCACCGAGCATCACTCTGCATCGCACTCCACTGTATCTGCTCTGAAGTGTGCACACGTGTCTAAAAAGCAGAGCCAAATGGCACAGTTGTTCATACATGTGCCATATGTGCGTCTGAGTACAAGAACTCAAAATGCACCGAAGTGTGTGCATGTGCCTGGATGGATGAGTGTGTAGTCCTCAGAGCTGTATGGTTTTAAGGTTTATGTCATGATGACACTCACCTTTGGGTTTCTGATCAGCAGCCTGCAGAAAAGGAGAAAATAAGTCAATGAACTCATTAGAAAGTAGGGATGGGAGAAGATATTGATACACTGAAATATCGCAATATTACGTGTTATGACACTGAATCGAAATTTAAAAGCAGCGGATCATTTTTTAAAGTAAGAATATACATGAAAACATTTACAACTTTTCTTTTGTGTGGTGCAGTTCAGACTCCGACAGCTAGGTGGCAGCAGATTTCACTGCCTTCATTGTGATGGAACAACTAGATCTTGTGATAACATGTGGAGATTTCCACTTAAATCTAGTCTTAAAACTGCAAATATCGTCTAGCTTTCAGTATCGTGATGCATGGAACCGTTTCTCCCTTGCCAATACACACCGCTGTTGAAAATAAAAACCACGACTGATTTACTGAAGAAGGTAAAACTACTAAAAACATCATTTAATATGTACTCCTCTGATGTGCATGGACGTAATTTGGGGGGGACAGGGGGGACATGTCCCCCCACTTTTTCCAAAGTCAAGCTTTGACCCCTGCACTTTTTACCATCCAAAAACAATATTACGCTATATTAAACTGACACTGGTTGAGCTCTAGGACCAAGCAGAAAACAACCATTTGTGTTGAAGCCTGTTTCCCATTAGAGCATACTGTAAAGATACCCCCCCCCCCGTGTCCCCCCCCCCCACTTCTAAAGTGAAAATTACATCCCTGCAGATGTGTGTGTGTGTGTGTGCGTGTGTGTGTGTGTGTGTGTGCGCGTGCATGCAAAGTAACGCAGGCGAGACATTCACCTTTTTCTGAGCGGTATCCTTCTTTGTCTTTTCTTCTTGGTTTTTCCGTTTCCTTTCTTCCATCAAATGATTCTCTTTCTTGTGTTGCTGGCTTCTCTCAGCTGTTCAACACCAGAAGAAAAGAGTAAATGAGTGAGAAAAACAAAAGACGTCAGGTTTTTTATACCGAGAGGTTCGTATACGTTTAGCAAAATCAAACTGAAGAACTTTCAAGGTGAGTTTGAGACGTCCATCACCATTCGCTAGGGCTGCAACAAACGATTATTTGGATAATCGATTAATCGGATGGGGTCTCAACACGATTAATCGATTAATCGGATTACATGGGGAAATTTTTAAAAACTGCTAGGGAAACGTTATTTCTCTCCTTCATTCACTTTATTTAACACAACATTATTAGAAAACAGTTCAATAGCAGAAAAACAACATGCCATCACCTAAATTGTCTTATAAGGTGCATAGACAGAGACCCTAAGCTACACCTATCTGTGACCTAAAATGCTTGGTCCAAGTTAAACAGCTTAAGGGCAATTCTCATCTGTTTTGTTTGATCTCATCTGTTGACATTTATTTTAAATGTAATTAAACATAGGCTGTGAATTAATCAAAATTGATCACTATTTCCAAAAATGACTGAAAAAATACCAACTAAAACAAAAGTAAATGAATGCCATCCTCCTTGCGATGATGCCCTGGGCAACTGCCATAAAGTCACATCAAGAAATGCTGCTGATCATTCCAATGATCCCAAATAGACTCACATTAGGCCACATGAAAGCAACTGAACCCAAAAATATATTAACCAGTATATAACTGCACTCTCACACAACACGCCTGCAGCAACAGTTAGGACTCCTCCCTCCCTTTTAAAAGCGTTTTTGCTTCTGAGGACATTGTGGTTGTAAAACCACAAGCTAGTAGTCTGGCCCCGGTGTGATCAACCAGTTTCTGCGGGAATGTGACGGCGGAACCAGGGCCAGATTAACACTTTGTTGTACCCTGGGCAACAATATTCAAGGGCTCCATCATCTCGACCCAAGGATCACCATAATGTGGTCACATACAGAATATTTTACTGTAATATGCAGTAAATATACTCAATACTTGAATGCCTGACAACACGTAACCCGCCCAGAGTAACCTTTGACCCACCTCGTGTGGACTGACCAATGAGGAGAGGGTCTTAACTTGAGGCCCTCTCTTCATTGGTCAGTCTGCATGAGACTGACTCTCAACTGACGTTCAGTCGTAGGCAGCGAAGCTTCTCTGTGCAGCGCAAAAGCCCGGGTGGACAGTTTGTTTAATGTAGGGTGACCATATTTCCATTTCCAAACAAGAGGACAGGGGATCTGTGCCTATGACGTCACACTATGGCAACACCACACAAACCATGTTGGGACCCATTTTTTGTAAGAACTAAATTAATATCAGATTCTGCCAATAAAAGGGCTCTAAAACAATTCATATGTAAATATTTTGCATATTTAATGCAAAATCTAATTGTTCTGCTTTAATGCTGCAACAAGGTTTTATTAATAATAAATTATTATACCTTTTGTTTTACTACAGCATCGGTAAGCTTCCTGTGCACAGATTATTAAGGATGCTTGTTTCAGCTGTGAGATTAGACGATAGGATCAATGAAAAAATAAGTTGTCACACACTCCATGGAAACTTTCAGAGAATCCACAAAAAGTGGCTTTCAAATGGTTTTGTTACTTTTTGCAAGTTAAGAAAAGCAGCAGATGAGACAGCATGTCTGATAATTTAGTTTTTCATCTGATAATATTAGAACATGTCAGTAATGTCTGAGGGGCTTTTATAAACACCATATAACTAACACTACTGGAGAGGGTATGAATTACACAGAGGCTTCTGGGGAGCCCAGTTATGGGGGGGGGGGCATTTTGCCTTGGCCCCCAAAATGTCTTGAAACGGCCCTGGGTGTGTGACTGAGTTTTGAAGGTGATCTGAATTGTATCAGATGTATAAATATAACATGTGTATAACTTATTGTTTTTTACTGGTAAAAACGTGTCGTGGAGATAAATCTACCTACATTTTACTTTGTTTTCTTGTTTTTATTGAACTATTTTCCTGTCCTGTCTGTCTCTCATCTTCCTGCATCTCCTCTTAATTCTCCAGAAAATCTGTTGCCTGGATTCTTACCTTTTCACCTCATCAGTTACTTTTGAGCAGATCAAAGGGATCTCCTGACCGAAAAGCGCAGAGCGCGTTTTCGATGCTGCGTGAGGTGAAATCACCGCAGCACAGGTGATGAGCTCCGCAGTAGCGCGCTTCAGGCACAAATAAGACAGAAAATAGAGAACATGTGCGGACAAGAACGATCGTGTGCAAACTATAGTTTTTTGGTTGCGCCACTTTGAGAATGGACCGTGCGGTGGAAGCAGCTGCCTGGATCGTTGCGCAACAATGCGGAACCGGTTCGCAGCAGCGCAAGTCTGCAGGCTCTCCCTCGCGCTGATCTGCGGCTCTCCCTCGCGCTGATCTGCCGCTGATCTGCCGGCTCTCCCTCGCGCTGATCTGCGGCTCTCCCTCGCGCTGATCTGCCGGCTCTCCCTCGCGCTGATCTGACTTGCTCTGGTCTGCGCGCAATGGCGGGCGGGAAGGGGGGGCGCTTTTGGAAGAGTTGTGCGACACAACGAATCGATGACGCAATTCGTTGCTAACGCTTTTAGTAATCGATTTTCATCGAATTTATCGATTCGTTGTTGCAGCTCTACCATTCGCTGATGATTTTTAGAGGATATAATCAGTAAATTAAAGCTCTAAACCAGGATTTAACTCCCTTCTCTCATTATCCTACTTTAACCCATTTCAGCTAAAGGTTCAAGCATGTTCAGCTGCACCTCAAAAACTCTACAAAGGTACAGTTCAACCACAGAAACCCTGCTGATACAGGAGCAGACCCACGTGCGCTATAATTCATTACTGGGCTTTTTTTGAGTTTGCTTTTCTATTTATGAAGGGAAGCGAAAACAAATATGTTTCTTAGTTCCTGGAGATAAACGTGGGTGAACCACTTGAGAAGAAAACCTAATTCAGCCTCTCTGTCAGGCAACAGCCTTTATAGATGGGAGGAGAAGATGTGGGAACATCTGGAGTGTGAGTGATTATTGCTCTGAGCAGACTCAACACACACTGAAACAAAATCAGTCCTAACCAAACCCTTTAGCACATGTGTGAGGTCAAGTAGAGGCTGTGCCGGTTAAATAACACATTTAATTACATATCCGTAAATTCTTGAGTTGAAAGTGAACAAAATGCTGATTTTGAATCAAAAGATAAAAAAAAAATGGGCTCCTAAATTAACGTCACTGATGACGGATACCAGGGCTGAACGATTAATTGCATATGCAATTAAACTGCGATGTGACAAAAGGAGATTTTCTAACCGCAAAGGCTGCGATTTGACTTACATTCTTACAAATTACAAATTAGGAACGTGTCAAATGATTACATTTGGAGTCTAATACAAAGTAAAAACTGCCATTAATAAAATACATACAGACAGGTATTTTAGTAAAGCTAGAAAACTGTGAGAGGCTTCAACTCCACTGAGTTTTGGCTAGCAGCTGAACGTTAACTGAACTACGGAAGCTCTGCATGGACAAAACGTCAAAAAATCTGTCGCACAGCGCTCCTCTGTGAGAGTGGCGGGGTTGCGCGACAACGATCTAAGTGAAACATCCTCATCTTAATCTGCTCCGGTAGGTAAATAAAATGTTTACGATAACGTTAGCTTCCGTTCCGCTAATGGTGCGTTCGCTTTCTCCTCGAAACTCCGAATTCCCGACTAGAAGAACATGAACGCGCTCTAAAGTTTGGCTTAACTTTACTAAATGCGACGGGTGACTGGGGTGAAGACGAAACCAGTGACAACAATCTAAGTGTGAGGCATCATCGTTTTAATCTGCTCCAGCAGTTAAATAAACTGTTAAAGATAACGTTAGCTTGATATGTTAGCTTCCATTGCCACCATTGTTATCAGCTAATGGTGCGTTCGCATTCTCCTCGGAAATTCTAACTTCCCAGTAGGAAAAATCAAAGAAAAAGGACGGCAAAAGGAATGAAGATACACAGTAAATTTAGTCCACAGAAAAAATGTTTGCTTCAGTTTAGTTATCAGCTTATAAAACTACAAGGACGATGTTAAAATACAAACAGTTGAATGTTATTTATCGTGATATTTATCAAATATGGTTATATATTGAGAAAAATGTATATTTAATTATTAAAGAATTAAAATATTTAACACTCAAAAGTATCTAAAATTGGTACCGTTAAGTACCGGTATCGATTCCTTGGTACCGGGAATTAGTACCGGATCGATTCAAATGTCAAAGGTACCCATCCCTAGGCATGACGCTTAGCCTGGTGGGTGGGCAAGCAAGCAAAGCCCTGGGGGAAACCCTGGATATGACATGTAGATAAATATGTAGATATACCAACTTGTTTATATTCAGGACAAGTTACATAGATTTTTTTGCTTCCGTTAGTTGACAAATGAGAAAAGCCCCTTGAGAAAATAATCGTGAATTAAATCGCAATTATTTTCCTAAATCGTTCAGCCCTGACGGATACTCTAAAAGTTGTAAATTGTCATTAAACTAAAGAACCGGTTCCTTTTTAGCTAAACGTTGGGAATGTAAGCAGCGTTCATTTTAGAGCTGAAACAACTAATCGATTTAATCGATTATAATCGATTATTAAAATAGTTAACAACTTTTTTAGTCATCGATTAGTTGTTTAATAATCATATTTTACCGCATAAAGTCTATTTTTTACCACAATCTGACATTGGTTACAAGCTGTTAAATTTGCCGCCATTGTGTGGCAGTAATGAGCCACTGATCTACCAGTGGAGCCGTAGAAGAAGAAATGAGCCAATGAGTGCCCTCGGTTTTCATGACGTATCACGTTACTGACGCTCATCTTGCTGTGAGAGATGGCGGAACAAGAAGAAATACGGAAGAAAAATAGAAGCGACAAAACAAGAGAAACCCCGGACAAAAACCTCACGAGTATGGGAGCACTTCACTCTAGATGCCTTGAAAAGACGGGTGACCTGCAAAATATGAAAAAAACATCATGGCACGGAAGCACGACGTCCCTAAGTGAACATTTGAGATGAAAGCATGTGGGGGCTGATGCAGCAGAGGAAGAGCACCGCGGTCAAGTGAGCCGTCATTTGGAAGAGCCAGCCCGGTAAGTAACAGAAAATAAACAAGCTGGACTTAGTGTTTTAGCTGAGTTCGTTATAGTGAATGTTAAACATGTTTTTTGCCGCGTCAGTCTACGGTGTTCTACTTCTGATTGACTAAATGCAATCGTGAATCTCCTCCGTGTTGTGTATCATGCGCTTGCCAAATTCAGCACGTCTGTTTATAAGAATGTTCTCGTTAAGAGAAAAACGGCACAAACCCATAACTATGTTCCTCATTCAAAAAAGGACAACTCCGCGGTGAAAAATATACAGACGAGCTGTGTCCAGGTGAATATAACGCGGCATAGTTGTACGCTTTCAATTTTTAAATACAGGAGAAATTCAGAAAAAGTCATTTTTTTTTACTATTAAAAGGCTGTTTTAATGTCTAACGCTGTAAAACGCCTCACAACACATTTTTATCATGTTTCTTAAACAGTATTACACAAAATAAACATTTTTCACATTTCTCTAGCTAATTTAAACACTCCCGACTCAAAGTAAAAACCTCATGAGCTTCTTACTTAGAGCTTTTTAATAGTAAAAAAATAGACTTTTTTTTTTAATATCTCCTGTTGCGGGCTATTTTGTAGAACGTAACCCTCAAAATAAATGATCACTGTATATTGTTAATTAATTCAAATAATATAATATTGATTTAGTGTTGTAGTGTGTGTGCTGCTTTATTTTATATGTGTACTTATTTCAGTCTATTTGTGTTTCTTATGCAGAAAAAAAACAAGCAACGATGGACAACTACATGGGGAACAAGACACTCACCCCCCAGCAATTCATACCACTTACAAACTCTATTCTAAACATGCTGGTAAAAGACATGAGGCCACTATCCATGGTGGAAGGAGCAGGCTTCCAGCTAATGCTAAAAAATTATTCTGGACTGATATTTTGCACTGTTTAGCTAATTTTATACTGCTGACTGTGTTCATGTGCAATAAAATAGATTGCAGTCAACTGCACAATTCTCTTATGTTTTTTTTTCTTAACTGAAATGCATCCATCACTTGTATAGGTTAAATAGCTAAACAATAACAAACCGATTAATCGAAAAAATAATCGACAGATTAATCGATTATGAAAATAATCGTTAGTTGCAGCCCTAGTTCATTTCAAGTGTTTATCCGACAGAATGTTTATATCTGATTAATCCAGAGCGAACGGAAAACAGACTTTTGTTTGAGTGAACGAATCCACAGCTGGATTCTCACATGATAACTCCAGAGGAGCCAGAGTCGAGCTACGTGTGACCAAAGCCGTTCTCCAGCTGGGTTCCACTGGGGACTTCCCAGCTGGTTCCCCGGGTGATCGGGCTTTACAATAACCCCAGTAAATCACTGCATGTCCTTCCCAGTTCATCCCAACAGTTTTTCCAGGAGAAAACTCAAACTTCAGTTATGACCAGTTCACTTACCATGAACGACTAACAGACATTGGTGATTCTGCTGACCCTGTGTAAACAAGATGAACACTTAAAACAACACTAGAGGACTACTCAGAAAAACAAAGAGGTGACCACAAGGACGCCAGAATAACGGAGCTGGCTAAAAGGAAGCAAAGAAAGGCCCCAAGATAAAGGAACAAGACGAGGATTTTAAAAGAGAAGGCCAACAAACTACAGCATTTGGACTTGGGTGTGAGACCAGCTAACTAGCCGGCTAGCCTGAGGGCCCGCTGAAACCCCATACTTGATTTAGGAAGGACATTCCTTTGCTTCAGCTCAGAAAGCGACAGCTCCTCCAAACGGTTAGAATGACTGGAGACAAAAAGTGTGATTGATGAGGACGCTAGAGCAGCACATGATGCCAATGTACGGATGTGATTCGTTCAATAGTTGGCAAAGAAAACTCATCTATTGAACAGTGACAGGGAGTCCAGGTGAACTCACACACACCTGCTTTGGCCTTTGTGCTGCACCTTTATGAGCCAAAATCAAATCATTTTCCCTCACAGCTGTTCCGCTGATAACGCGACGGGCTAAATTTAACCTAAACTCAGAAAAGAATGAAAATTCCAAACTTTAGACAAATACCCAACATAGCATCAGTGAAAACCGTAGGCTGGGATGTACAAAGCTCTTTATTCAAATGAACAACATTTACTGGATGTAAGACAGGTTAATGCTGATTAACTGATATGCTCAATAATAAGTAAATCAAAAACAGACCCATACATGTGAGTAGGGATGCACCGATACGATACTGGTATCGATACAGATACTGATACCTGTATCGGTATCGGTAAAAGTTAACAGATACCAGTAACTGATACCAATGCAGTTGCTTGAAAGTGACTTCACTGTAACTTGTCATTTCTGTTCACCTAATATTTTAGTTTTGTGACCATTTCTATTACTTTTTATCTACCTCACAGTCTTTTCCTATTGAAAACAGAAGAAAATAAAACCTGTATTCCAATTCATTGCATTTTTTTGTGTGGTAGAAGTATCTGTATCGGTAATGGGTATCGACGAGTACTCAGATCCAAGTATCGTATCGTATCGGTTTGAAAAAAAAAGTGGTATCGTTGCATCCCTCCATGTGAGAATATGATCCAGTCCTTAAGCATCTAAATGTGTGAATAAATCTTATTTCTAAGTGAGATTGGAAACAAAATCCAGCAAAGATGAAAACAAATGGACTAGAGTTGATGTTTATAACCAAAAGATAAAACTTTTCTAATGCTGTCAGAGTTTTCTACAAAACCAGGACAAAAATCAGATGTTTCCTATTCTCCTCCATCTTGATTTCCCCTTCGTTTCTATCTTTGTCTCTCCAATGTTCACTCAGTCCTAGTTATTACAGAGTATGTGTGTGTGTGTGCGTGCGTGTGTGTGTGTCACTGTGCTGTCTCAGCAGTAAAGGGAAGGCTGCCCCCTCAGGTAATAAATAGGAGTCTGAATTATGTGTGTGAGTGTGTATCTGTGATGTGGGCGGTACAAAATGAGTAGCAGCATATTTCTCATTTACTCTCTTCCATTTTAAGGCCATCCAGTGTTTTTCCAACAATCACACACTCTAATAACGCTCAACAACCGCTACTGATGTCCAGCTGGAAGACGAGAGGACACGCTGACAGGAATGTGAGATGAAACCATGAGAGTGTACGGGCTGTCCTACGTTCTCCTATTCTCCACCACATTATAGAAAACTTTCAAGTAGAGCGGTCTATACCATTGTGGCTCTATAGATCTACAGTATCTAGCTGTAGTTACGAGGATTGAAGAAACATCACATGAGCCTTTTACAAACATCCCACCACGGTTCAGAAGCTCTTCAGCGCCGTTCGATGCCTCGTCGTTGAGACCGACTGATATTAAGGACCAGCCAAGCAGCCTGGTAAACAAACCAACATGTGGCATAAGAGAGGGGACAGTTGACCTCTCATCCAGGTCCTCCTGACCTGCGCTGACCTTACATAATGGCCTTACCTGCCTCCCACCCTCTGTGGTGTTGACACCACCATACCCATGGCTCAGATCCACCAGCGTTTATACAATATTGTGACCTTATAGCAGTTAAAAAACCTGGCATTTGGACAAATTGTCTCATTCTGAGGTTACAGATCCATAATCCCAAAATTACACCATCTCCGCTGCGCTCCGCTCCGGCACGAACTCCGCAGCAAAAACGGTCCCGTTGTAGTCAAGCAGAGCTGTTCCACTACTGCGGCCGTGTGGCGCAGTGCGCCGCCCGCCGTTACGCCATCCGGAGCACCTCTGCAGTCAATGGACAGAGATCACAACCGCCCGACAGGAAAAGGAACAAGCACAACTTCCGTTGTTTCACAATAAATCGATAAACAAAAAGCGTTTTTGTTTCATATGCACAGGTTTAACAACTTTTAACAATTATCAATGGCGGTTGAACTTTAAATTAGGGCTGCACGGTATAAGGAAAACCTGCGATATTCGAAAACAGTGCTTAATATTGCGATATCGATATTACTCGCGATAAATGAACACATACTAAAGTATGCAGTGTTGATGTCATCTGGCGTGTGACGTCTGCTCTGGGTTCAAAGCAAACAAAAACTAATGCATGAATTCCATTACAACATAACATTTTTATTGCAAAAATATGCAGCTGCACCTGCTACTGTATTAGCAGCTGCACCTGCTACTGTATTAGCAGCTGCACCTGCTACTGTATTAGCAGCTGCACCTGCTACTGTATTAGCAGCTGCGCCTGCTACTGTATTAGCAGCTGCGCCTGCTACTGTATTAGCAGCTGCACCTGCTACTGTATTAGCAGCTGCACCTGCTACTGTATTAGCAGCTGCACCTGCTACTGTATTAGCAGCTGCACCTGCTACTGTATTAGCAGCTACAGCTGCTACTGCATTAGCAGCTGCGCCTGCTACTGTATTAGCAGCTGCGCCTGCTACTGTATTAGCAGCTGCACCTGCTACTGTATTAGCAGCTGCACCTGCTACTGTATTAGCAGCTGCGCCTGCTACTGTATTAGCAGCTGCGCCTGCTACTGTATTAGCAGCTGCACCTGCTACTGCATTAGCAGCTGCACCTGCTACTGTATTAGCAGCTACAGCTGCTACTGCATTAGCAGCTACAGCTGCTACTGCATTAGCAGCTACAGCTGCTACTGCATTAGCAGCTGCGCCTGCTACTGTATTAGCAGCTGCGCCTGCTACTGTATTAGCAGCTGCACCTGCTGCTGTATTAGCAGCTGCACCTGCTACTGTATTAGCAGCTGCACCTGCTACTGTATTAGCAGCTACAACTGCTACTGCATTAGCAGCTACAGCTGCTACTGCATTAGCAGCTGCGCCTGCTACTGCATTAGCAGCTGCGCCTGCTACTGTATTAGCAGCTGCACCTGCTACTGTATTAGCAGCTGCGCCTGCTACTGTATTAGCAGCTGCGCCTGCTACTGTATTAGCAGCTGCACCTGCTACTGTATTAGCAGCTGCACCTGCTACTGTATTAGCAGCTGCGCCTGCTACTGTATTAGCAGCTGCGCCTGCTACTGTATTAGCAGCTGCACCTGCTTCTGTATTAGCAGCTGCACCCGCTACTGTATTAGCAGCTGCACCCGCTACTGTATTAGCAGCTGCAGCCGTTACTGTATTAGCAGCTGCAGCTGCTACTGTATTAGCAGCTGCACCTGCTACTGTATTAGCAGCTGCACCTGCTTCTGTATTAGCAGCTGCAGCTGCTACTGTATTAGCAGCTGCACCTGCTACTGTATTAGCAGCTGCACCTGCTACTGTATTAGCAGCTGCACCTGCTACTGTATTAGCAGCTGCACCCGTTACTGTATTAGCAGCTGCACCTGCTACTGTATTAGCAGCTGCACCTGCTACTGTATTAGCAGCTGCACCTGCTACTGTATTAGCAGCTGCACCCGTTACTGTATTAGCAGCTGCACCTGCTACTGTATTAGCAGCTGCAGCTGCTACTGCATTAGCAGCAAAACAACAAACTGCATGCATGCAGTTTCTCAGTTACTTTAAAACATCACCACCACCATAAAACTTTTTCTGATGCTCCAAATACAGAAAAAACATCCTTACCAGGGTTTTTTGAATAAATAAAAAGATCAGAAAATAAGTTTAAATGTTAAATAATAGTTAACATCACTTAAATGCAACAGCAAATTCTCTCATTGCTACTGAACATTTTCTCCACTTATGTGGTTATGATAGAAGGCTGTGGCTGTAATTGGGAAGTGAACTGTGCTGGGCCAAACTAGGAGAACATTAAGATTTTCTGAGGGAAAGAGAAAAACAATTGTCTACCTTTCAGAAGAGGAACTGGCAAAAAAAAAACTACAGGGAAATAGGGCTGGGCGATATGGCCTAAAATATATATATACGATAAAATATATATACGATATACTGAGGATTTCTCCTCGATAATGATAAGTGAACGATAACTACAGGTATGCGAAGAAACAAAGTTGTCCACTAGATGGGGCTATTACATGTATCGTGTTGAGTC